AAAAGGCAGAATACAAAAAGATCAAGCTTCAGCTTTAAGTTTCCCGTATCTGTGGGAGGTTTTCATAAAGAAACGTTATAATTAACAGTTCAAAGCCTCATTTTTATCATTCACTTTGTGCAATTATCAGGATTTAACACTCATTGTGGGAGCAGTTCGTTAAATCACCGAGTGCGTGAAATGCTCATTGTTAATTACCAGCAATAAAATTAACAGTTTTGCCTTAATTCATTGTTGTGTTATTCTGCCTGAAAAAAGAAATCCAGCCGCATCACATCCGAGGAGGAGAAAAAAAAGCCCAGGCGAGGTGTAATTACCCACATGTGACAACTCATTACAGAGACAAAGGGACAGCGACAAAGCCGGTAAAAGATTTAACAATTAAAAAAATATTAATTGGCATCCCAATTGTCCAATATTCTCAGAGAAAATGTGACACCTGCTGGGCAGGAATGGCGCTGCATTTAATACATGCAATTCTGGGTGGGAAGGGGGACCCAATGAAATGAATGCACTTTAAGGGTTCATGTTGATGCCGCAGCAGCTTGTTCTATATACTCTGAGTGGCCGGATTATTATATACACCGAGTGGGCGGATTATTACATACACCGAGTGGCCGGATTATTATATACACCGAGTGGCCGGATTATTATATACACTTCCTCGCATCACCTTTCACCATCTCGTGGAGTCACGAGGCGGCCCAATGAAGTAATCTCGTGGAGTCATCTCGTGGCCCAACGAAGTACTGATGGGGTGGTCATAATAATCTGGCCACTCAGTGTAAATGGTCAGTTTCACAATATTTCTTTTAAGAAAGTAAAGTGTTGGAGTTTGTTTACTGGTCTGGAACTTGCTTCTAACTCTTGCCAAGTCCCCGTCATTTGCTGGCACGGCGATGCCTCGTGCATTGAAGGTCCTTACTCCAATGAATCTGTCCTCTCCCCTCTCCAAGGCCACAATATGTTTAAAGAAGAGACAAGAAACCCCATTGACCATTCGGAGGTATTTTTAGTCTGACATTTGCTTGTGTTTCCTCATGAACTAATTTAGCGGAGTTTAGAAAAGGATCCAATGGAGGGCGTCCAGTGTGACACAAATAAGGGGGAATTCCGCTGTTTTGGAAAGCGGAGCCTTTGATCAGCTTTAAATAGTATCCGTGCCGGTCTGCGTGGAAGGAGTGGAGCCGGGGAACAAGTCATGTTCATAACAGAGAGTAACAGCATGGGAAAATGTTTGGAAGGATGTGAGTAGTTTATCATGACTGTGAGATTCCTTCACTAGATCAGAATGTGCTGAGGACATCACTGAGACATCTACTGACACATCATGGACACATCACTGGGACATCCACTGAGACATCTACTGGGACATCATGGACACATCACTGGGACGTCTACTGAGAAGTCTACTGCGAATTCTACTGAGACATCATGGAGACATCATGAAGACATTATGGAGACATCACTGAGACTTCATAGAGACATCACTGAGACATCTACTAAGATATCACTGACACATCATAGAGACATCACTGAGCCATCTACTAAGACATTATGAAGACATCACTGAGACATCTACTGAGATATCACTGATACATCTACTGAGACATCACTGAAACTTCATGGAGACATCACTGAGACATCTACTGAGACATCATTGAGACACTGAGATATCACTGACACATCACTGACACATCTACTGTCCGAGACATCTACTGAGACATCAACTAACATATCTACCGAGACATTTATTGAGACATCTACTGAGACATCTACTGATATATCACTGAGACATCTACTGATATATCACTGAGACATCTACTAGGACATTTATTGAGACATCATTGAGTAATAGGGTTGGTGTTAGGATGAGGGATAGTAATAGTGTTCGGTTCTATCTGTTTTATTATCAGTCAGCATGTTTACAGGTAACGAGGCACAAGAACAGGTTCCGTATCATTGAAAGTAACTGAATTGCTCCTTATTTATCACTGACAAATCATGGAGACATCATGGGACATCACTGAGACATCTACTAACACATCACTGACACATCTACTGAGACATCTACTGATATATCACTGACAAATCATGGAGACATCATGGGGACATCACTGACACATCTACTGAGACATCATAGATACAATATGGAGACCTCACCGAGACATCTACTGATATATCACTGACACATCACCGAGACATCTACTGATATATCACTGACACATCACCGAGACATCTACTGATATATCACTGACACATCACCGAGACATCTACTGATATATCACTGACACATCACCGAGACATCTACTGATATATCACTGACACATCACCGAGACATCTACTGAGACATCATTGAGTAATAATGTTAGTGTTGGGATGAGGGGCAGTGATAGTATTTGGTTCTATCTGTTTCATTAGCAGTCAGCATGTTTGCAGGTAATGGGGCACAAGATCAGGTCCTGTGTAATTGAAAGTAACTTCCAATAACCGTCAAGAGACATTTATCCTTTAAAAAACCCCCACCAGATGCCACTTTAATTTAAGCTCCCCATTGACCCTAATGGGTTTCATCAAAGGTGGCTAAAGTGTGAAAACTCCAGTTTCCCTGATCCCTACTTACTTACCAATTGTCTTGTGCTGAAAGATATTGCAGCTTCCAAAAATGTCACAAAAAGCAAAGCCTGCTGGGTCTGCGGTCCAGCCATTGATGCGCAGGTTGCCTTTCCCGTTCTGTAAATAAAATCTAAACTCTCTATCTTCCTTTGGCCCAATCCCCATCCATACTAAATTTCACTTTAATATTAATCTCCTGTTTCCGTGACCAGAAATGTGAAGATTTCCTTGTTTGCCCGAGCTAAACATCCCATCATAAGGAACCTTCTATGCCGGCCGAAGTGTATTCCGATTCTCTTCCTTGTTTTTAAGGCAAACAAAACAATCATAATTTTTTTAACAGTTGACTTTGGCGCGGAGAGATCTGCAGCTGCCGCCTTCCAAGTTACACATCCATTTCGATTCGGCTCATCATCCAAAAGAGCTGAATTCAGCGTTAAAAAACAGATTTATTATTAGGCCCGCTCTGCAATATCTGCTGAACAGCGCAGGCCGTCCGCGCTTGGCGTTATAAATTTGCGGCCTGGTGTTCCTCCCAAAAAAAATACATTGGTGTCTTGTGCCAAGCGCCATGACACGGCTGGAAGCTCGTTCCACTTTCTTACAGAGCCAATGGACTCTTATATGCGAATAATAAAAAAAAAAAATTAGAATGAAAAAATTTAGAAATACACTATATTGCCAAAAGTATTGGGACGTCCCTCCAAATCATTGGATTCAGGTGTTCCGTAACATTTCCCGGCTACTAAATATTCAGCGGTCACCTGTTACTGGGATTATAACAAAGTGGAAGCAACTGGGAACAACAGCAACTCAGCCAGGAAGTGGTCGGCCACGTCACATGACAGAGCGGGGTCAGCGCATGCTGAAGCGCACAGTGCGCAGAAGTCGCCAACTGTCTGCAGAGTCAATAGCTACAGACCTCCAAACTCCATGTGGCCTTCAGATTGGCACAACAACAGTGCGTAGAGAGCTTCATGGAATGGGTTTCCATGGCCGAGCAGCTGCATCCAAGCCTTACATCACCAAGTGCAATGCAAAGCGTGGGATGCCGTGGTGTAAAGCACGCCGCCACTGGACTCTAGAGAAGTAGAGGCGTGTTCTCTGGAGTGACCAATCACGCTTCTCTGTCTGGCAATCCGATGGGCGTGTCTGGGTTTGGTGGTTGCCAGTAGAACGGTACTTGCCTGACTGCATTGTGCCAAGTGTAAAATTTGGTGGAGGGGGCATTATGGGGGGGGTGTTGTTGTTGTGGAAATTTTATTATATGGACATTTGTTATATGTGGACATTTTATTCTAGGACGTGTGTGTTTTAAGTATTGTCATCTGTCTCCCTGTGTCGGATGTAACCCAGGAACGCTCTAGCAGAGGGTTTTTTGGGTTGAATCGGGACCAGCAGTAAAACTGTCAGTATGAAGACCTTCTCTTGGGCTTGGAGACATGTTCACAGTGTGTGGAGGCGTTTTCCGGTTTGTGAGTACTAAGTGCAATGCGCTGGGCTCCTTTGCGTTTAACCAAGCGAATTTCCATAACATTGTTTTTCAGGGGTTGGGCTTGGCCCCTTAGTTCCAGTGAAGGGAACTCTTAAGGCATCAGCACACCAAGACATTTCCCAACTTTGTGGGAGGAGTTTGGGGATGGCCACTTCCTGTTCCAACATGACTGCGCACCAGTGCACAAAGCAAGGTCCATAAAGACACGGATGGGGGAGTTTGGGGGGGAGGAACGTGACTGGCCTGCACAGAGTCCTGACCTCAACCCCATAGAACACCTTTGGGATGA